GGGGGGAATTGGAGGGGGAGATAACCATGAGAAACTATGGACTCTGAGAAACAAAATGAGGGTTTTAGAGGGGAGGGGCCTGGGGGGAGGGGTTAGCATGGTGATGGGTATTAAGGAGGGCACGTATTGAACGGAGCACTGGGTGTTATACGCAATGAATCATGGAACACTATGTCAAAAACGAATGATATAATGTATGGTGATTAACATAACAATAAAAAACTTAAAGAATAAAACAAATGATGTAACATGTGGTGACTAACGTAACAAAATAAAATTTAAAAAAATAATTTTTTTAAAATGTTAGGGTTTCAAATGACAAAACCTAAGTTGTTTAGGTGTGTTCATAGACTGTGAGTCAAAGGGGGAACAAACATCTTCCAGCACAAAAAATTCACTGACCTTCACCACTGGATTCATTTGATAGCTATACACAAAGACAAAAGGCTTGTCTGATTTTAAAAAACTAAGAAATCAACAATTTTTATATACAGTTCATATACTCTGTATGGAAAATTAACACTTGAGACCCGCAGTTATAAACACTTAAATGTTCGTGTTGATCTGGCACTTAGAACTTTTTAGAATATTCTTTCGAAATCTTTTCAACTATTTAGTTTAAGCATATTCTGAGTACTCCTCCGGCATTTTATTGGATTTTTTTTCTTTTTAATGCTTAACAGTGCAAAGTCAACTGTAGACGTTCAGTGTAGGTGTGGCCATTAGCTCAGCTGGGCACTGCTGCTTTTCCTGTCTCTCTTGCTAGATTTTCTGCTTGAAGGTTGCTCCATTCAGGCAGCCCCCGCCCCCGCTTGAGCCAACTAGGCAGCCAGTAGACCTCTCCAAGCACACTTCTCTCTGACAGTTACCTAGGTATATTATAGGAAATCCAAATGGTCTCTTCTGCTATCAGAGGACATCCCCAGCATCCTCCAAATCAGAAATGATTTCTGGACCATTAAACTGATAGAGAACTGGAAAGGAATAATGACAGAAAGAGTGGGGTTCAGCCCATAGACACCTCTAAGGAAAGAATAGCAGCTGTTTCTCAGTTTAAGCATTCATAGACTGGGCAGTACAGCCGGTGAGAACTGGACCAGATGCTCTGAGAAATTCTCTTCTTCCTTTTGCCATCCATTATGGTTTTAAGAGGCGGGTGTGCTGAGCAGGCAGGAGCTAGGACTTCTGGCTCTCGACACTGTTTCCTCCTAGAGAGGGCTTGGGTTTTTAGGTTTCTGTAATATCCGACCCTGCCCATGTGGGTCAGGGAGTCCAGCCTAAGTTCTCAAATCAGATCTCACTTCCTTTATCTCCTTATCAGGGCGAGAAGGCTGTGTCCTAGCGAAGAAAAAGAGACAAAAGAGGGGTAGGGCAGATAATGAGAAAGGCAGAGAGGGTAGGAATAGAAGAACACCGAATGTGAGGGACTACTTCAAAACAGCAGATAAATGTCTTTTTTTTCCCCATATTAAAAATCTGTCTGCCAAAATGAAAAGGCCTAATTAGCAGCTAAATACAAATCCATGTCCCCTACCTTTTAAAAGACACATCACCAAGGTACAAAGCAGCGTGTCTGGTTGAAGGTTGGGTGATTCGGTCCCTCTATTACTTTGTATAAAACAAAGAATCTGTAGTTTCATTACACTTAAATTGTCTGGCAGTGGATGAAGTTAACTTTTATTAGAAACAGTTCTTTCATATTACACAGTGTAGTCAAGGATATATTAGCTTTGACATTTTCTTACATCTCAATATAGTGTAGAGTGAATTTACTGTGAGACTAATTTAGAAGGAAGCTTTTCATAGGAAGAAATAATGGTCAGCATCAGCTGGGCTGCAAATTATAGGCAGGATGAAAATTCAGGGAAAAAATGGATATACGCATAAAATTGCTAAATGTTAACAAGCATGCTTCTTATATTTGTATGCCAGTGATAATCTTTATCTCTTAAAACTCCAGTTTCATAAAAATTCTTTTCAGGAGGAAGATTTTATTCTTGAGGAAATGGTGTAGTGCATCCTAACATGATTATTTTGTCTTAAAGAAAGAAAAAAACCATCAGATTAAACAGTATATAAAAGGTGTTTTTAGAGCTCATCTCTGGGAAAGGAAAAAACCTGGACAATTTAAGCATTTAAAACACAATTTAAAGATGATTGATTTCACTAATACACAATATGGTCATTATAAAACAAATTCCCAGTATGTGAAATTTAATTTCACCTATAGGATTCATCACTCATCACAAAAGTTTTATTATACTCTGGTATCAGGTGCCATTCTCTCGCTTTTCGTTGTTTTTTTTCCAATAAGATCATGCGGGTCAGCTGATATTTTGTGGCACCAATTAAACATATTATTGGTCAATGAGATTGGATTCTGTTTAAACCAAACAAAGATGCAAACAAGCATATCAGAATGATAAGTGTAGTGCTTTAGCTTTAATAACTTAGAATGGAACTCTATCACGCAAGGATTTTCAGCTGCTAAACTAATAAAACCCAGTCAATCAAATAGTAAAAGATATTGAGAAGCAGCAACAGGAAGTGTTATAAGAAAAGCACCCAATGGAGACAGTAAGAGAAAATCCGTTAGTCGACTCATTCCATTTCTTATCTGTTCTATAGGTTTAGCGGGGGAAAGGTTTTTTTTTTTCTTTGCATTTATCTTTGTGCCTGAATGAGTTCAATTTCACTTAGATTAGGACAGAAACTTCAGAACAGCAGGTTAATCCGTCCTGTCTTCATGGGCAACTGAGCAAACAGACCAATATCTGTGTAAAATTGTAATTCTGGAGATTAATGTTGTCTTTCCTGTTTGTGGTGAACTTAACCTCCTTGCCTTTTCTTTTCCCTCTCTTTCAGCTTCTGTCCAGGGTCCCTGGGAGAGAGCCATCTCACCAAACAAAGTGCCCTACTATATCAAGTAAGTCCGAACCATCACATTCCTAAAAGAGCATTTATTGTGGCTAATCTGCATATTCACAAATGAATGTATTTCTGAAATGTGACGTTAACCTGGCCTACAATACCTAGTTCTTCATTCCACGAGGAAGCTTGGCTAGTCAACTCATGCTAAAATTACCACTGCAAATGTGCTGATGCAATAGGGAGCTGCCTTTAGGAAAAACCCATTTGACACAGCATATATGTTGTGTTTTGTGATTGGGGGTGGAGTGGATTTTCCACACTCGAACAAAAAGCTGCAGATAATATTACTGATAGTGGGAGTGAATATTTATAAGAACAGTTTCATTTATTTGGGGGTTTGCCCACATTTCTTTTTTAGCAAAGATGGATGCTTTCTGCAGCTCAATGTACACAGAGTGTTTTAGGTGAATAAATAGTTCATGTACCCAAAAGGCAGTCAGCGGCGGGCTCGGATGTGTGGAGCTGAGTGTTCATTCTCGATACATAGCACTCAGCATTTTTCACATAATGACAACAGAATGATACTGTTTTCTGGGGCCATTTATGTCAGTCAAAGGAATATAGGTGCTTAGAAGCACCTTCCATGGGATGCTGCATGAAATACAAATTATGATACATTGGGTCAACGTGGAAGGGAGAGGAGGGAGGATATGGAGTCATGATGATACCTTAACAGTTTCCATTGATGGTGCAATAGAGTTCAACTTCAATTTCACTTTGAATCCGCTGTCTCAACAATTTAATTTCGTCGGCTTCGTGAAATAATCTTCAGTACCAGCTTAAAGTCTTTGAACCTGCTTCTTTCATGACTAAAAATACTCCACGTGTTCCCATTGTTTCAGCCTCCCATGTTTTATCAGGTCACTTTCTGTTCTTCCACTGCTGATCAATTCTTCATAATTCAGGTCTAAAGCAATATCAGCAATTCTAGATCTTCATTACCACAGTTCTCCAGAAATTAGAGTGCGTGCCTCAATTGTGTTAACCCAGAAGAATGGGGGTGAGGGAACTCTCTGGGCTCTTCAAGGAGAAAAAACACATCCTTTAGGAAAGCTTTGTCTTATTAAATTTTTCCAGGCAAGGTATCTCTTACCTTTAAACATTCTCCTTCAATTTGCTTCGATCCTGCTTTTTACTTTTCTTCTTTTATTGTATTGTAGTATTTTTATTCTGTATAATTATTCAGTCACTGCATATTTTAATACCTATTTTAAATCACTTGTGTTATTAAATGATAAGTTGATTTAGACATGCACTGTATGGCTTTACATCCACTGTATATTTTGTGGAACACTTAATTCAAGCTCCTCCCAGTCATCTCCAGTGTCTTGGTCATCACAAATTTTCATCTCTAAGATTTTTGGGACCTGCTACTCCTTCAACCTGTTTATAAATCTCTCACTTTATCCAATTCCTTTCTGATGGATGAAGAGATGGTCTTTACTAGACGAAGACTCTTCTTTTGTAGCCAAGGTTGGAGGACCACCTGAAAACCCAAAACATCTTCAAGCCATTATTCTCCAGATTATTCCCGTTGGGGGCTTATTAAATATCTCATAGGGATTCCTAGCATTCCCCCTACCCCCACCCCTGCCAATATTCTTTCCCTAAATATTTATCTTCTTCCTGATGTTACACCCACTACAAAAGATCCCAGATCATTGCTGTGTGGCAATGAACATGAATTCAGTCCAAAAATAAAAAGGAGACAAATTAAAGAAAACCTATAATTCCCCCCCACCGCCCCCATAACTAGTCTCTTGCTGCTCGTTGGTGGTATCAGAGAGCAGCTACCCTCTCTTTGTCCGCCTCTTTCCCAGTGTTCCTTCACCGACTTGAAGATCATGGTGGCAATATTGATAAGGGCACATATCAGGAAACAAGAAAACTTGATTTCTGGTCCTGGCTCTGTCATGAGTTGATGGTGTGGCCTTGGGCAAGTCACTTAACCTGTGCAGACCTTAGTGTCTCATTCATAAAATAAGAAGTTGGATTTGGTGATATCTAAGGGCTTTGTAGCTCTAAGAATCAATGAGTGTGACTCATTGAATGGTCTTGCCCAAATCCAAAAACTTAAGATCTCAGCTTTTCTTCAAGAAGTTTATCTTTATTTTTTAAATTCTTTATTTTAATCATTAACATAATATAAATTCTTATTTTAAAAAAGCATACAAATTCTATTTTTCCACTGTTCAATTAGCTGCAGATATGCTCCCTAAACCCACTCCAGTTTCTTCAGGTAACCATTTAAAAAGCTCAAATCTTGATGTTTAATTTAGGGCTATCATTCTGCCTGATTTACTAGTAAGAGACATAGAGCACTAGACAAAAAATCAGTAGAAAGGGGAGTCTGGAGACCTTAAACCCTCTGAAGGAATCCATTTCTAGGAACGAGGAATTACATAACTGCTCAAAAATACCTCTGAAACTTTCTGGAGATCATGTATTTCTAAAAATTATAATCTATTTGAAATTAGAGATAATAGAATTTCTCAAATATACCTCTAAAATGTTAAGCTAATGTAGGGAGAACACGTGTTCAGAAAATATACATTGTCAACAAACAGATGACTAATGTCATTTGTGATTTATTGTTACATATTACTGTTGTCTAAAAGATTCTTTTCATAGCAAATTACTTTGATGTACAAGGTTCAGTGGACTTCATGCACTAGCTAATGCTATTTGTAATTCGAGATGCCTTATTTATCCACAAATAACAATACTAATAAGTTTATAATGACATTACTTCAACCAGTCCCCACCGTGTCCTTCGTCTTTGTTACCTTGTCTCAACTTGCATTCAAGAGTTTTAAGCACACATTTCCAGGCACAAAGCCAGGTGTCTTCTCTGGATCTTTTTTTTTTTTTTAAGATTTATTCATTTATTTGAGAGAGAGAGAGTGCATGCATGTGCATGGGCAGGGAGGGGCAGAGGAAGAGGGAGAGAGAAACCCAAGCAAACTCGACACTGAGCACAGAGCCCGAAGTGGGGCTTGATCTCAGGACCCTGAGATCAGACCTGAGCTGAAAGCAAGGGTCAGATGCTTAACTGCCTGTGCCCCCCAGGTGCCCCCTCTGGATCTTTTCTTTTCAATACTTAATAATTTTTCCTTTTCAATGCTGGGATAAACTGATCACCTAAATAACCAGAGGTTTCTGCACCAGTAACCCCATTCCAGTTAGCTGTTGAGTTGTGCACTCATGCTTGAGGTTGTAAGTCATTACCAGCATCTTCTGCTCTAGCTTGCAAATCAGACAGTGTTTATGCCTGCATCCTGACACCAGCTTTACATATGATGCTAAGAATCTTGATTTTGATACTTCAAACTACATGTTTGTCTAGTTTATTAGTCCATAGCATTCATCATTGTTACAGTTTTCATATTCTCTCTCCCTTGGGACTCTCTTATTCCTGCCAGCATCTCTTTCAGGTTATTTGATTACAGCTTTCATTGCCCCTGAAAAAATAATCACCAACAATGTTCAACCTGTTACAACTGCCTTGTCCACTCTCTGCCATTTTGTAGTTTTCTGGCCTACTGTCAAACTCATGAAAATTTCAATATAATAGCCTTTAACCAGCTGTTGCATTCTGTTAGGATTTCTTTCACCTTTTTATGTTGCATGCTCCCATATGGGTAAACCGAACGGAGCCAAGAGCTGGGACTCTCTTGCTTTCTTAATGAGTTAGAAAATTATTCTTCTGTGTTCTGGACTGTCAAAACAATTTAGGAATCCCAAACTTGCATGCAGTATGTTCCTGCATAGATGACATAATAAGAGCATAAGAAATAGCACACTGGGTCAGACCAGTAGGGCACCTAGCCAAGAACTCTGTCCCAGATGCAGACACCAGTGGCTGCTCGTCAGTTAACCTAGTAATTTCCATCTTAAAAAATTAGGATGCATCCTGACCATTTCTTAATAATCCATCGTAAATCAGTTGGCATTGAGTTTATCCAGCGGTTTCTTTTTTTTTTTTAAGATTTTATTTATTTATTTGAGAGAGAGAGAATGAGAGACAGAGAGCACGAGAGGGAAGAAGGTCAGAGGAAGAAGCAGACTCCCTGCTGAGCAGGGAGCCCGATGTGGGACTCGATCCCGGGACTCCAGGATCATGACCTGAGCCGAAGGCAGTCGCTTAACCAACTGAGCCACCCAGGCGCCCAATCCAGCAGTTTCTTACTTCCTCCATTCTCCTCTTCAACCTTGTCTTCAGAAGAATGAGTCCCATGAATCTGCTGATTTCGGTGTAAAAGAAATAAAGGTATATTGCAGTTTCTCTTCACTGTACATTTTTGAACCTCAAGGGATGGCCCCTATTAAGGGCTGCGGAATTCAGTGAATACAATGGTATTTACCCAAAGTAGACTTCAATCTCACATCCCCTTACAACCCCCTTTTCATTTTCATCTTCCCAGTCGGAGAAGCTCTAATCCTTTTTAGTTTCTTAGCCTGTCTTCGAATGAAAGATAAGTATTCCCCTTGATCATCTTAGCTGCTTTTCCCTGGATCTCTTCCAGTTCTGTTACATCTTCCTTGGGATGTCGTGACTGGGACGGCCCAAACATTGGTTATTACATCTGTTAGCATTGTCTGTAGTCTCCGCTCGCTTGTGAGGAAAGTAAACGCTCTTTGCCGTATCCCATTGGTGAGAGATGGAGAAACCGATTGAGGTCACAGCTTGTTCTGCCTATATTAGTTCTGGCCGGAGGTTGCTTTGCTGCTACTTTTCTGTAATACCGGCTGAAGTGTTTGCCCTTCTGTTTCTGCCAGCTGGCTCCCAGGAAGGCTTTGGGTTTCAGACAAGCTGGTCCTTTCCCCTTTCAAAGACGCTGCCGTGGCTAAAAAACCGGGAGGCATTCACTACTGAAACCCAGTAGGAAACCTGCTGACTCGTCACCAGGAAGGCATTCCAGCAGGTTCCCTGTCTCATTATCTCTGAAGCACTTCACAGGAGAATGAAAAATGGGGTTCCGGGAACATGCTAAC